ATATTCGGTATAGAATAGAATACTTAGAAAAAAACAACAATGCTGATAAATATATCGAAAAACGAATACAATGCAGGATATATATTAAACTGTATAAATACACCAAGATTTTATTTTAAATTTTAATTTTTGAACAATTTAAATCAAAGCAAGTTTTATGACCCATGGATCGGTTTTAAGTCACTATATAAATAATATTACACTTTATTAAATTAATTAAAATGATTTCACTTAGCCTACTTTTAAAGAGTACTTAGATTTACATTGTTGAATGTAGGTTGCAAAAACACGTGTCTACGACTATGCGGTATGTCATTACACAACAACAAATCTTTAGCTGTGTTTTTTTACTGTTGTTTACATTTTAACTCAGATATTCCGGTTTAATGCCATTGTATGAAAAGTCTCCAGTCTGAAAATTTAGGTCTGAACAACAACACAACAATGGATACTGCAATTAAATATAACACCATGAAGGCATACAGGCTTGTACAACTACAGTATGGTACACTCTCTACTTACCTATATGTATATTTTCTTAGTTAGAACAACAACACCATTCCAAAATTCAATATTTCAGAAGATGTTTTTGTCTACGACATAGTTCCGGTAGTTCACATACACGCTTGCTTCAAACGTAATTTGGATATTATGAGACAGGTGCACAACCAACCAGGTATCTGAAGGAAAATTGCTGGCAAGGACAGTAGTGCCCCCAACCACTGTACCAGGCTAAACCTACAAATTATTAGTTCAGCACTCACGCCTTATTAGCGTCCACCGTCGAATTGGTCTAGTCCTGGGGCCGAAAAGTATCCGACCAGTGTGTCAAAATCCCGTTTTGCCGAAACCCACGATTGCCGAATAACCCAGTTTGCCGAATCCAGTTCACCGAAATCCTGACAACCCAGTTTGCTGAAACCCAGTTTGCCGAATCATTTGCCGTCACCATCGTACAAAAGTACAGCATAGGCCTACTGTGCTTTTGAAAACATGATGGGTGGATCAGGGAGGAGCCATATTTATATTCCCGTATTTCTACCCGTGTAAACGCTCCGCTTTGAATAAACAAACGCCCCTTCTAGAGTGTCATTTGGAATAAACGCCTCTTTCGAAAACACCCCACGTGGCGTATATTCTTTCCTCGAATAAACTCCCCCTTGACTGTAAACAGATCTAATGGAAATATCATTCCCAGCATTTTCTCCTAATGTTTTACTCCAGGAGAATTAAATTTTAATTACAGTGGAATTAATGGGCGTTTGCGTATATACAGTACGTATCTATCTACACACACACGCACACACACATACACACACACACACAAATAAATAAATGCCTGCCTCGAATAAATACCTCCCTCAAATAAACTCCCCCTCAAAAACCATGCTCAACAATAAACACCTCAGGATGTTTATTCGACGAAATCGTCCGAGACCAAAAATGATAATTCGCATATCAATATAACGTTATTTTGAGTGTCAATTTCTAATATTGTGGTATAAAAAACCCCCTTAAAGTCAGGCTCCGGAGGGAAAAAAATTGTTGATATGTTGTTGCACTGATTTTTCTAAGACAGAAAAAAGTTGCCTGACGAAAAACTTGGGAACGGTGAATGAGATACATATTTTTAAATATTTAAAAACTGGGGGAAAAGGGGCGTAACCGCCATTTTTTACACCTTTTTGTAGTTTAGTAGTTTAGTCACTTTTTAATATATAAATTATTATTTTATAAATAAATTAGAAATACCAGGGGTGACTTGTGGGGGGATAATTTTACCTGCGTTATATTTACTGTATCTAATATATTGTTTACAGTTTACTACTACATTTTCTACTCTGATCCGACCCTTACAATGCTATTTTAATGTAAATATTATTTACAAATGACTATAAAAGGATATTAAGCCAACAGCGCTAACTCCCATACTACAGAGGAAATAATGAACCAGTCCACTAAGCTCCAACCCTTAAAAATATTGTGCCAAAAAAAAAAATAAAATAAATAAATAAATAAAATAAAAAAATAACAACAACCCTAGATGCCTGTAAATAGCATCAACCTATAGATCCACTTCCCCAGTGGGCGACTTGATACCCTACCCATGCTCTGCGTGGTTGGGGCAAAGGTAAGCACATTTTGCTAAAATCAAAGTTTCAAAAAAAGTTTTCAATAGGCCTATGATTCCTAACAGGAGCTTGAAATGCATAGGCTAATAGTTCACTACAAAACACGTATATGGTGAACTTAACATTCGAATGACATTGAGGTGCAACAATTATTTATAAAATTTATAGGTAAAAGTGTATGTATTTTTTATAGTAATAAAAAATATGAGAAGAATTGGTCCGGCCAAACCGGTGCGGCCGGGGCGGTTCCGACGGCCATGAGTCAATAAATTCTTATTGGGTTGAAATTACTCACTTTTGTAAAACTAGAATTATACATTATAATAATAATGGTGATATAATATAATGGTATGCAAGATATTTTCTAGATTATTAGTCACCAAAGAGTTGTACTGTAATTTTACGAGAATAGCTATTCAAATTGTGTCTAAATTCCAGTTTACAGTAATAATAGCAGTCCTACATAGACTCATAATGTAAAACCTAATTCATTCTTGCATGCCTGATAAAAATGTAAACGCCATAAGTTCTTAAATTGTGATTGGCTGAGGTTAAGCGCATTATACGATACTCGCTTGCATTAGCCGTGCATTTGCACGTAATACGCGTTATATTATACGGGTGAATTATTGACCATAGAGCTATTAAACATCGGAGTTAGCGCTCTAATAT